AATTTCAGTTAGCATATTTTTCTAGAAAAAAATTATGTGTGATAACTCTAGGAAGATCATCTGTATTTTTATACGTAATTAGTTGCTAATTTTTTAGGTGTAATTGTAATGAAACAATAGTTGAGTACATTTCATACATGGTAAATCTATAGATCCTCCACATTGCTTCAGGGGGAGAGATCCATCTACCAGATTGGAATTTTTGTATTTTATCCAAAAAAAATATAACTCATTATCATTATTAACAGAGAAACTCACTTTGTCATGTCATTTGTAAACATATTTATACAAATATTTTACAGCTTTTATTGTTAAACATATTTCTACATTAATATGATAGTCGTATTTGGATAATAGATAAGAATTATAAGGCACAACCCACCTATTATCAAGAGAATGTTTTCTAACTCCAACCCTGATGCCATTATCATGTCTTCTATATTTATGATAAGAATTCTCATCCAAAGAAGTGAGTGCATTGTATTTATGTGGATAATGACTTATACATGTTCCACCACCTTGCATACACACATTGTCTGGATTTAAAGAACCACAAGGATCATGCATCATGTGTTTAACAACAACAGAATGCAAATAAGGATACTTTGTACTATTAGGGATTTCAGTAGATACTATCATGTCGACATTCTTAGAAGAGTTAATTTTGGAACTTGATTTAAGTATAATTAGAAAGTGAGCATGTGGTAAACCTCTCTTTTGAAACTCTATAACATATATATATGCAACACAGGTCCAAATAATTGTTTTTTGAATAATTTTTTTTTAACTCTTCTAACTTTGCACTAAAAAACCCGAGAGACCAAATCAAGTTTGTTTTGAACCTCATCACAATACTCTAGTTCTCACTTTATTTTAGGCCAATTCGAATTGCATGTAATAGTTAAAAAAATTATTGGGTTTCCCAAATTTTTGGACCAATGCCACTGCATCCATGTATCTTTTATTCATATCCCTAGGACTACCAATGAATGAGAATGGTAAAATAGTCCTTCTACCTACATTGGATCCTCTAGTTTCACCATTTTGCACACTATCAACAATTCCTTAATAAAGCTTACTGCGTATTACTGTTTGATTATTATGAAAGTAATCCAATCTATAAGATTCAACTTTAACATACATATCAACCACGTATTATTAGAAAAGTCTACCAGCACGTAATAGAATAGATAAATCTAATGACCTTACTTGTATCTTATAACAGTAATACTCACGACATGAGACCTGGCATCTTTTCGCTTCTTTTGCAAGACTGAAGATGCATAAAAAACAAACAAAAAATAAAATTAGAAAATAGACTAATACATAATCTTAAATCTTAAAAGAAACCAATAATTTATCTTCAAACTTTCCATTTCGTTGTTCAACAATTCTTGTGGAGAATCAACTTAATGTGCATCAATCAACGATTGTATAGAAGAAATATCATCATCTACGTGCAATTTATCCACTCTTTCAATCCCCTGGTGCTAGCCATGTTCACCATTAGGAAATAACAAAGGGTACTGAAGAAGGTCATAACATCCAAAATAGTAATTGACTCTATATTTGCTACCAGAATGAGCATAAATAAATATATCACAATTTGCAACATTTTTCAATGTTCCATCATCTACCAAAATAGCAGCAACTTCTGACGTTGTTGGAGCATTGTAAACTCTTTGATCCATATTTAAAGTAGGTACAATTTTTATACAATGACTATGTACATTATGAGTATTAGTTAAACTTCTAAAGAATTTTGCATAAGATTTAATCTTTAAGATGCGAAGTAATTTCTCCATAATCGATTGAGATAATCCATTCGATATTTTCATTCAATTTTGGCTCTCATTTTCAGTGTCGTAAAAATAAAGCTGTAAATAAGAAGGCTTAGAATCCATAGAAAGAAGATTATTTAGGTAATGATATATTTGTCCCTGAATTCTAAAAGTATATATTCATTTGTGTCTTTTGCATAAATCCTTATCATATTTTACTCCAAATGAAGTAAACGCAAAGCTACAATTATAACTTCGGATACAGGTCCTAAATTCAACTGACTCATCGGATGGGGATATAAATAAATCAAACAATTCTTGAGGTACATCATTAATTTTAATCGAATGGTTCTATCAGAGAAGCAAAAACCTTTACTTTCTTCTTTAATTTTTTTTGCTCCACAGAAATTATAAAATGTCGGAACAGGTAACAAATAACACTGGGTTGAATTTGTTGTAAAATGTGTATATTTGAACTACTTTCTTTGAGTGGGAAAGCAACACCTAGCAAATACAAAATTTGAAATTGATTACAATCTACAAACTTCAGCTCAAGGGAACACCGAAAGAATAAAATGAAAGTATAACTAACCTCTTTCGGTTTCTTCAGGAACACTTCCAAATCTCTCAGATGGACAAACTGAATTTTTTATAAAACAAATAAATCTAATATAAGAAAAATTTTAATAGAAGAACTACAACCAAACCAAAGATGGAATTCATACCAATACCTATCTTTTGTGCTTGTGTATCATGAGAAGTGACTTCTCTTGTTGATAGAGAATTCAACAGACATTTTTGTTGCGATTGTAGTTCTCGTTGACGTGAATTTTGAGCTTGTTTTGTAGCAGAATCCATTACACAAACAACTGAACAAAAAAAAAATAAAATCTTGAAATAACTTATGTGATTTACCCTGTGGAGTTTCTCATTCATAGTGCCATGCTTTGGAATATAATAAACAATTGAAGAAAGACATCGGTAAGTAAAATAACCATTATTAAAAATTAAGAAGAAGAATAGCCTAACCTATACAAAGGGAAAAGCAAAAGAAGGAAATAACCTAAATTAAACATAATTTATCTACCTGAAATACAGATGAGAAGGTAAAAAAAAGGCTTAAAACTTCTCAAAGTAATCGACGCCAAACATAAATTAAACTCAAAAATTCCAGTTCAAAATCTTACAGAACTCAAAGAGGTTTTAAGGTCAAAAGGAAATTTTATATTTTCAAATAGTTTCTGATATGCAAAAAAGAACCAAGAGCTATCCAAAAATCAAGGGAAATAATAGCAAAAAAGAGATAGAGAAGCTGTATATTGTAGGGAAAAAAAAAAGAAAAAAATTTCCCTGCGCACTTTCGATATATTTTTTTCATTATTATTTTTTTCTCCATTTTTTTGGCAGTCTGTTAAAATAAATGTTTTTATTCTTCTCAGCACATAAACAACATTCTCACCAACGATCAACGTACAAAATGAATTGAGCAAATGAAATATGAAATAAGCAAACAATCTATAAACAAAATGAAGTTTAATCCTACTGCATATTATCAAAGTCAGTTTGAAAGTACACTCAGACAATTGATCAAATACTTTGACAACAATCAATTAGAACTACAAACCAAACTACTTTAATTCAATCCACCATTACAAACAAATCTTAACAACTAAAGAGAGGAATGGATTGTATGAATTCGACATTACACCCGTTTTGTACAATTAATCAATCACATTACGTTGAAGCTGAACTTGAAGTAGGCAAATGATGTCGCTAAAATTTTGATAAATCTCCAACCGTATGGAAATGGAAAACAAATTGCAATTGTGAGGGTAGAGAATCAGAGAAGAACTCGATGGAAAAGTTTATAAATTGCAATTGTGAGGGTAGAGAATCGGAGAAGAACTCGAGGAATTAAGGAAGAACCAGGGAGAATGGAAGAATCACGGAGAGAAACCATGCCTTTTTACACAATCAATAGTAGAGGAATGGGCTAGCCAAAAATGATGGAGAAACCGTATGGTTCAAGCTAGAAACAATAAAAAATAAAAAAAAAATACAAGACGAAATATATGAGTGACACGTGTCTCACCAATGTTTCGCTCTTTTATAGATGTAAGATAATGTTGTGAAACAATGGAGGAATGACTAATTGGCAAACAATTACATCAACAACACTACTAACAATTTAAAATGACACTACAAGAAAAATGGCACCTAGCTACAGAAAAATGTCACCCAAATATATAAAAACATTACCATTTATTTTTTATATTTCACTACTAATTTTGCTTGCCCAATTGATTTTTCTTAATCGTTTCTTGCTGACCCACTTTCGAATATGTACCCTTTGATTTGATTTTGGTTCAAATAAAGTAACTTCATATATATATAATCATTACTTGCAACGATGGATAATGTATATAAAGAAAAGGAAAGTAAAGTTTAAAGGTGGGTATAATCTATGAAAATAAGTCTGAAAATGTGAAAATGAAGGTGGATTTACGAGGATTTATGTCTAGGAGATTTGGTAAATTTTGGTTTCAAATTGGATATTTTAGACATTTTAAGTTAAGGATATTAAGGTTGAGTCCCAACCTTAAGGGTTCCCCACCGCCCCCGCCCCTGAAACATTGTGAGATAAGTTTATCACGAGATGTACCCCAACAAGTTAGGGAATAAGAGTTGTCTGTACACTGTTGCCCACAAAGAGTTTCAATTCATATTTCAGGAATCACACCCTCATACTGCGACTGTCAGTAAGGTTGAGTATACCTCACCCTTGTCCTTTACACCATTGAAATATGTCCCAAGGGCGACTTTTAAAACATTATAAAATAGACTAAAGGTTAATTGATCAAAAAGTATTGACAGTGAGTCATTTTACCAAACATCATTGTTGATTAGGGTTTTAAAGCAAGTTTCCCTACGATGTGTATAAATTATCTCGATGAGTAGAGAAGAGATAAATTAAGGGCATGTTTGTGCCCCTTTAATTTCAAAAATTCTATTATGAAATAGTGATTGATGTTGAAATATATGGTTAAAAAAAGTTTCTAATTTATTTGCAATTTATTTTAATGAAAAATGCGTGATTGAAAATAAATATTGTAAAAAAAATAATTCGGTAGGATGGTTGACAAACAAAGGTTAAGTGCAACAAATAAGACAAATTATGTCAATCTAAAGATAAATTTAGTCCAACAAATAAGACAAATTTGTCTCAACCTATTTATAGAATTAATTCATACCCCAATCCCTCCTAAACGTTCGTTCTGAATACCGATTGCCTCTCTCTCTCTCTCTCTCTCTCTCTAAATTATTCATTTTTCTCATCCATTCGAGCGCCAGGCCTGTAATCTGAGAATGGCGTCTGTAAGTTCTTTCATATTTGATTGTTTATTTGCAAATGATCGTAGTTATTTGTTTCTTTATATAGCAACTTGATTTCGTTTGATTTTGTAATGATTGAATTGTTGTTTGATTATGAGATAATTTTTGTGGAATGAATTCATTTTTGAAATTTATATTAGAGGATTTTTAACAATAAATTATGCTTTTTTGCATCCAGAAATTTCCCCAAACACTGCAACCCTTGATCACAAATTTAGAAGTTAGAAATGAAGATTTTGTATTCGAATGAAATTTTTTATAATGGGTTAAAGATTTTTCATAAATATATCTATTTGAATTAAAAAAAACTTAATTAACAACACCATAATATTGGGAATTCTTATTAAAATTAACTGGATTATATGAGTTTAAAGTCTATTATATGGATTATTTTTCAGTGAATTAAATTTCATTTATCGTATTTGGTGACATGAGTAACATACGAGTATACTAGTTATGTAATATCTGCTGCTTACTCTGTTATTTTGGTTAGATTACCAGTAAATTTGAAATTCGTCAACCTTTCTGAAACTTCAATGTTATACTTTTTGCCTTTATATACATTAGCTTGAAGTTGAACGGTTAGTGGGAATAATTGAGAAAAAAACTTGGGTACTGATTATGTCTTTTTTGAATTTTTCTAGATTAATTTATTGTTTTGATGCTAAGATGGAATTTATTTTTATGTTTTTCTGGAAAATTTTCAATTATGTAAAAACATAAAATAGGGTTGAAAAACATACAAAGAGAATTCGACTGAGGCGTGTGGATTCTGTGTAAAGTTATTCAAGAAATTGATGCTAGACTTGTGACTCATCTCTCTCATTATATAATCCAATGCAGGTGTTTAGCTAAATTTTCTAATAACAACACATTAGTTTGGTGAATAATGTACTTACAAAGCGATTGAAGAATTATTTTGAAACATGTGCAAACATACAAGGACAATGGACTATGAGAAATAATGTAGTGTAGGTAGAAAAAGTGAGGTTGTGCACGCATGTATTAGAAAATGTATAGACCAAAATGCATTTTAGAATAGTATTTTGTTGAAGAATGCGTTGTTAAAAAGTAAGGAAATACTTTAGATTTGCGTGTAAAGTTATTTTATAGGAAAATGTGTGGTTGAAAATGAATTTTGAAAAAAAATTATTTTTTCAAAAATGGGGACCAAACGTAAGCATAATTTAATTCTATCATCTATCCAAAATAATGGTGAAAATACATATATAACAAAATTGAAATTCTCCAGCCTTTTATATTCTTACAACCTTCATAATAATACCCCTCAATACGTATACTTTCACTATCTAACCAAGATCATAGCCAACGAACTGATGAACTCATATGAGACATTGTTAGAAATCTTTAGGGGAAATGCTACTTGAAGTGACATGCCTCGACCAACATTAGTGCCACATAAAGTAAGAAGATAATCACTGCAACATGTGTTATATTAAGTTCTAGTATCATTTGGTAATTTTAAATTTGTTAAATAACATGTTTATCTGCAGAAAGAGAAAGGTCGGCCGTTGCCGAAATTTGGGGACTGGGATGTAAACAATCCTGCCTCTGCTGATGGATTTACAGTCATATTTGCCAAGGCTAGAGATGATAAGAAAGCCACGGGTACTGCTGCAACTGCTGCGCCACCATCACAGACTGTATCTCAACCAAACGATTTTTACGAGTATTCTGAAAAGGTATTGATAACTTAACCGTCAGTTACATGTTTGGTATGCTTGACTAAACATGAGAATGGGACAACTATTATACTTAGTCTTAGGGAAATTGATGCATGGATCCTCCACCTATTGCTAGAGTAGCAAGTTGGTCCCTGAACTTTTAAAAAATAAGCAAGCTAATCCTGAACCTTTAATTATAGTTTCACATTTAGTCCCAGTGACACAAAGCATCTAAACCTCTCAGAAACTGTGATGTGCCCTCATGGAAACAGCACCTGCTCAAGTTGTGATACAAATTTAGCTTCAGGGTTATGTCGGTCACACGACGATTCTGACTATTTTAAACAACTTATTGTGCTACTATAATGAAAGATTGAGAACCTACTCGCTACTCTAGGCAACATGTTAAGAACTAATGTTAACGCTCCCATAGTCTTATCTGTTGATGTTTAGCCCAAAGTACTGAACTTGAGAAATGAAGATTTTTATATGGTTTGGTGATGATTTCTGCTATGTTAATGCAGAAAAAGTGGCTTTGCTGTCTCTAAAAGGTTTGTGCATATGTTGGAACTATGAATTGGGAAACAAGGCATCAGACGGAGACATAGTTAAGTTGGCTGGTTGAGCCAAGGGAAGTGAAAGTTTGTTGAATTTTATTACTTTCTACTAAGGTATATGTTACCTAGTTCTACAGATCTCTCTACTTTCCCCAAATGTGTTTTGGGGAAATGATGATTATCATTTTAATTAATGAATCTAGTATTGATTAAGCAAATTATCTTGTCCAATTTTTCTACTCTATTGCACTTCACAATACAATCAACTGAATATAACATCGAAATTGAAACAAAGATCTAAAATCCAATAACTTGATTATAGAACACCAAAACAAGACACTGAAACCTCTGAAAAATTCAGAACCAGTGTAAAAATTACTAACTATCAATTGAATTCAAGCAAAGAAAACCTATTACAAAGAATTTATACGATAAATTGGTAGGAGTTTTAGAGGCTGAAGAAGTTGCAGTTTTAACCTGATCTTGCTCAATAACTCTTATAATTGTTTGGCCTTTCTGGCAGTGTCCATATGATCCACTTATGAAGTAGAAAAATTCATGGCGATCAAGTGTGAATATTGTGTCCCCAGTATTTGAAAAGAAATTAGGGTGTCGTATTGCAATTCTTGCACTTCGTTTTACTTACTTCCATCACTGAATCCTTTCTGTACTTGAAACCCAAAAAAAAAAAAAAAAGAGGTAACGATTCGTGGTACATTTTGCTTGAACGATGAATTAATTGACGAATCATGGAACATTTTGCTAGCATAATAGAAGAACTTGTCTAGTGGTACATAATGAGGTGTACCGAATGGTGTACACACCACTCACCTAGGTGTGGGACCCATGTGAAAGAAATTATATTTTATTCGAATGGGTCCCTCGTTCATGTGAGTGGAGTGTACACCATTAATTACACCCTGATATACCACTAGCAAAACCGTAGAAGAAAAGGGTAGGACTTACAAATAGTCGCCGATCTTGAACTGTTTTTCAGAAGCCCAATCATTGTAGAATTTGCTGTGATTGGCCGGAGGAACAATCCAACCAGCTCTATCACCGATTTGGAAGTTGAAGCAAGAGATATGAATGAATACAACAGAAGACAAAATGGTAAATACTAGCAGAATTTGGATGGTGATGTATCTTTAAAACTCTTCAGAAGTTAAAACTGTGCTTTTAATTTGGATAAAGAATGAAGACGTTAATCACTCCGTTACATAAATGTATTTCTGTGCAATTTGCGGTTATAGAATTAGTTACTACACACGAGCGTCGGAAAAAAAGGGCCGTGGTGAAGATAGTGGCCAATCTGGGGTGGTGGGGAGATAACGGTCTAGCTGCTCAAATTGTGAAAAGTCAAGGGGCTAGAACGGAATTGAACCGGTGATTAAATAATAATAATAATAATAATAATAATAAACTCTGTTTGAGACCTTTTTTAATAAATAAATTTTATAATAGTGATTTTTTGGATAGACATGTTTTAAACTTACACCCAAGATGCAAAAGCCAGAATTATTAGCTTACAAGCAAAAAATAATTAATTAATATATGATTTGAGGAGAGAGGTGTTTGCTTGCATGAGCAATGTACTATTGAGAGAATCTAATAAATTTATAAAAATAAAAAAATAAAAAAATAAAAAGGAAAGAGAGATTCTCTAATCTTTGCAACTACATATTAAAGTATCACCATGGCAATATAGAAAAGGAAAAATAAGAATCAAATTGGATGTTGATAGTGATTGGATGAATATAGTAATTTTCAAAATTTTTGAAAATGTATTAGGGATGTATCTTAGAATGGGGGTGAATATATAAAATTTGTACGGATCGATTTAAATGAATGAATTTAATAAGGATAATATTAAAATTTGATGCTGATGAAAATAATAATTTTTTAAAATTTTAATATTTTAATAGGGATGAATATATAAAAACCATGGATGTAAATAGCGACACCCGAAAATGTGTAGTTAAAAAATAAGCCCTTGTTTGACATTCATTATAAAAAGAAATTTTGGTAAAATGTATTATGCAATACTATTTTTTTGGGAGAATGTATGATTGAAAATGAATGAAATTTTTTTGATTTACGTGTAATATTATTTTATTGAAAACTGTGTGGATTGAAAAAGAAAGAGAAAAATATATTAAAATTTTAAAGGGTGTCAAACAAGGACTAAGTGAATCTTATGTATAGTTCTGTAAAGTGATAGTATCTGTCAACATTTTCATCATCAAGTAAAAAATTCTACCTTACGTAAAATTGTTAGAGTACGATTAACTTTTAAACTTGAAATCACTGTTTATATATCCACTATTGGTCCTTACAAGAGTATTATTCAGTTGAGTTTATCTGTAATATTTATTTTATTGAAAGTGATTGAAAATGAGTTTGAGCAAAAAATAATTTTTTAGAGAATTTGAAACGGGACTTTGAAGGTGAACGGCCGTTTTGTGTGTGACCTAAATGATTTGGTACGTTAACAACTTTTTCTTTTTCCTTTTTTAATTTAACTGGTTGCATTTTTATCAAGTGCTTGATTTTCTCAATTGACATGCTTGTTTGATATAGTCCATGTTTGAGCTTCATTATAATTTTACAATCATGCTATATGAATAGATAGTTTGATATAATAATTAACATAATGTCACATGACATTTCATCGTTAGACTGTTTTAAACACAGTCAACTATCCACCCAATCATCTCCCACTGTTCAGCAAACTAGGCGGTCTTAGATGGTTCAATAAGAAAAATAAAAAATCTTCTGATAGTTGATCATGACAATTTGATCCGATCTTGTACTATCCATTATTATCGGCGCTCCGAATATTATGTTATCTCAAATGGTTCGATGCAAAGTCAAAAAATTGATGGATAGTAAATTTTCAGAGTCTGATATACTTTTGATAATACCCATTCAGTGTTCCAAAAACTAGGGGGGAAAAGAAAAGTCAGAAATCGACTTGCAGTAACTCTGACATTCTGTTGCAGTTTTGACAATGTTCATTATTTATCAGTGGTCCGAAAAATATGTTGTCTTAGATGGTTTGATCGTGTCATTTTTATTACACTTTTGTAAACACTAGTAAGGAAAAAGTGTGTTGCATATTAGTTGGTAAATGTTAAATCTAGTGGTGATTGAACGAATATATATGACAAATGTTTCGGTGCAACGACAAATGTATTGACGTAACAAATTGCAATAATTTGTAAGATGAACATCATGGTTCAAGAAATGGTGCAGTATTGTTTAATTCTAGAGAATTAGAAGTTATCTAAAATGTCGATGGAGAATATAAGTAAATAAGAAAACAAATGGAATTAGATTTAGAAATAGCACGAATAGATTAATAATGAAAATCCGAGAATAAATTTTCAATACATAAGAATACAGCTAAAATTTAAAAGTCTCGTAGACATATCAGAGTGGTTTTTTTGTAGACCATAAACATTGGAGGTATAAGTGTTACGCTTTAGATCCAATCGATTTAGGTTGTAAACATTTTTAATATGTTTAATGCATTTAATTTTGGTGAAATCTATTATTTATTCAAATTAATTTTGTGATAAATAATATTAAATAATAGAATCCGAAGATCCAAGTTTAAGTGATTTGTTGATCACAGAGAATTGTGATTGTGAGATACAAATTACATATAATTGGATCTTGAATAAATTGTGGTCGCAAGTAATAACGAGATACGGATATCGTTAATACAGTTAGACCATCATATGTGGCATTTCTTACTTTTGAAGTAAGTAGTTGATCTCACGAGCTAAAGTGTGGTGACACTTAAAAGAATACGTGGATGTTTTGTTATAAAACAAAACATTGGAGACCCACTAAGAGATTCCATATGGATAACTATCTAAGTGTCAGTGGTTAATCTCTAACGTTCGGTAGTGAAATTGGTCATACAACTTGAGGTCATCATAGTGCCTTGTATGAGGACAGTCATACTTTGACGGTGTTGGATGTTACTCTACCAAGGGCCGCTAATACGACATCGTTCGAGTATGTCAAGAACCATATTAAGATTGTGAATGACCAATAGAGGATTCGTCACTCTTAGATAGTAAGAGATTGTGATCTGCATTTCATTCAATTAAGTCAATAACGAAATC